TTCGTTAAGGTTCAAGGCAGGTTTCGTGAAGAGGTGGATAAATTTATTGAAGCCATAGAGAAGCATGCAACGACGTTGACAGAGAATAAGGATACAATTATTTGTCCCTGTAAAGATTGCAAGAACCGTATGGCATGGACATATGTGACTATCATCAAATCATATTTGATTATGCGAGGACTTATTGAGGACTACACAGTGTGGATTCATCATGGTGAAACGGTTATTGTTAACGACGAGGATGAGGAGGAATACGACGATGAAACCCTAGAATCCCTGTCCCAATATTCAGCAGAGCTTGATGCACGAAAAAACCCTAAGTTTGGTAATGAACAAGGTGGTGATGCTGGCGGTTGGGATGGAAATGACGAAGGTAATGCCAATAGTGATGGTAGAGCACATGCCGGGGATGGAAATGATTTGGAGGACATGATTCAAGCCCTTGGATAAGAGATTTTACTAAAGAGCCGAAAGGTCTAGAAAATAATAGAGCATGATTTTAGAAAATTTTAGGAAAAGAAACCATCACATTTGGAGTTAGTATGAGGGAGAAAAACTAGTTACAAGCTTTAACCATAGATTAAAAAGAGAAATCACACTTGTTCATCATTGATCATCATAAACAGTTGTGATTTTTAGAAAAACTAGTTACAAGCTTCAGCCACAAATTAAACCTAGCAATCCCTAACTGAAAAGAGGTACCAGAGAAGAAAAATGATGAACTATGGGATAAGCAGCTGAAGCTCAATTTTAGATTTCGGAGGGTAAGCATGAACTAGTAAAAAAATACTTTCAAGATCATGGGAGAGTCATTCCGACGTTGGAGGTCGGAGCTCAACAAGAAGTATATCCAAAAGGGGTTAACTCCTTTCAACGAGTTTGGCAACATAACTCCTAGTCAATGAGAGGAGCTCGTGGCTCAGAAGACTTCACCGGAGGCATTGGAGCTCAGTGCCCATAACACCGAGCTGGCGAAGAGAAACAAACACCACCATCATCTAGGCCCCGATGGCTACTATGCCAAGAAAGAGCAGTTTAGGAAGATGGACGAAAAGGTCGCAGCTGCTGGGAATATCGATGTGAAGAATTTAAAGGTACGCTCAAGGAATTGGATATATATGAGGAGTACAGAATCATCCGGCGGTAATCTTTAGTTTGATAAGCCGGAGACCCAAGAGCAGTATCAAGAATAATGAAATATGCTGAAGACAAGGGGAAGGGCTCATTCAATCCTTTCCAGAGAGAGGGACAAGCTTAGCCTTGGCTTGAAAAACAACGAGCACATAGGCCGCACTAGGGGGCTAGGGAAAAGGATGACCTAAAGCATGAATTCAAAGAGGACAGGCACATGTACAAGAAACATGGCATAGATCGGGAGGCTAAGCTTGAGCTCCAAGTGAAGGCTTTAGTTGCGAAGGCGCTGGAGGAGCAAGGACTGTCTATAGAGCCACGCACATTAATGATGCCACCGGGAGAACTGACATTAGTTGGCAGCCCTCTGAATGTTCCTACCAGCCAAGGTTCCACTGCAGCCACAACCCCCGTCGATCGCATACAAGAACCAATTAGTTTCACCTTAGTGTTTCTCAGCGGCCGACAGAACATTATGATGGAGGTGGCAACGGGTGTGGCACACCCGGTGGCTTATACCACAATAATAAGGTATCGTCGGACTACACTAGGGTCGAGGTGCATACCGTGAAGCCCGAGTTTATGTAGTGTATGATAGACTATGCAACTCCCGAGGGGCTGGTGTTACTCAGAGATATAATGGGGCAGTTCATCCTCTGGCACAACTCGGACATTATATTGATTGCTTCTTCGCTGCCTCCCCCTCTCTCAAATTTGGAGCGAGTTGTTGAGGACGGGGAGATATTTTCACTGTCTCATGACCACCACATTCCTGAGATGCCACATTCTTCCCTGCCTCCTAGCGATCTTGTGCCAGATAAGACACAACCTACTCCAGCTTGTACCGAGCAAGTGCATGATGAGATGCCACAGTCTTCTCAACAAGCGTAGCCGATACATGAACAACGAGTGCCTCCTGAAGAAGGTGTTGCACAAGAAGATGAGGACGTGCCTGAATGAGAACTTTGAAAGAAGCATCCAATCACCATAAGGCCAATTTATGTTCCGATGAAAGACGTCTTGTCGGTGTACAAGTGGTATGCCCATGACCAGTTTAAGCCTGAGAACCAAATTAAAAAAGTCCCATCACGGGCTTCTGAGGAGGCCATCACTAGCAAACTCCACCAAACAGTAAAGCAGTATCCAAATGTTGATGCCATCAAATGGTCAAAGGATTGCTCAAAAATATATGAAAGAGGCAAGCCCTTCCTACTAAACTGGAACATCTAGCGCCTACCACTTGGAATGAAAAGGTTCCATGATTGGTACTTGCGTGTTCTCCTAACGAGCATAGACCTCGTACAAGCATGCGTCCCCACCGGCACATTTGGAAGCCCAGCCAGAAAAATTATCTTTGACTTCAATGATATGCAGACATGCTTTCACCTCGGAGCAATGAAAATGAATCTAATTCGCACGTGATGCCTGTAAGTCCTTGTCCTCCCAATATGATATGAATATAATCTTTGAATTTTGTTGTAACTAACCCACGCCGTGATTTATAGAATCCAAGTGCACATTGTAAAACAAATTCTAAGTGTGAAAGCCGGATATATAGACCCTCAAGCTATAGTACAAACAAATTTTAATTATCCTAGATAGTGGAAATTGGATGACAAAAAGCTAGCTGCTGGAAAGACCCTTCGGAAGAAAGAGGACAGCCGTGTGAAGAAACTAATGTAAGAGTCCCTTAAGGTTTTGGCATACATTGCCCTGGCTTTTAAAAATCTCTTACAACACTCTACTATATGGCTACCATACAACTTCTAGTAAGTTCAACTCTATACTTAAAGATTTATTTGATATATTTTATTCGATGCAAAAGAGTTTATCTAGTTCTATGATTAAATCCATGCAGAAACCACTTGATTTATATAGGCGTCGATGTCGGGAGGAGCATGACATGGGTCTTTGATTCAATAGATAGGGATCCGGTAACATACAAAGACTTCATATCGATTTTCAAGACGTATATATATCGACAATCATCATTAGCTTATATGTTTATGTACATACTTGTAACGTTAACTTTTGGATACTAACAAATTATATTTGCTAAAATAATTCAAACAGGGCATTTAGGTTCTATGTTACTAAACATCACGAAAGGCATGATCCAGTAAGTAAGGAAATGATGGCTATAAAAACACTATGTATGGTAAGTGTAACTTTTTCAATACTCCATTACATGGCTGTCAAAAGTATTACTTCACATTTTCATATGCAAAACACACAGTGCCCCAAGCAAAATCCTGGAAGTGTACATTGTGGATAATATGTTTGTTCTATGATAAGTAACATCGATGCCTACATAAGACACCCCTTAAGGGTAAGTTTAAATCTCTTCAACCGTAGTATAAAAACTTCACACATGGTATGAAATACTAAACTGAAACTTGTTCTCTTGTAGTGAAAAAAGAGAAAGAAATAAAAAGAGACATATATAAGGATGACCAACTTTTAGAGCTCGTCGGTGGCTTTTGCAACTTCATATTAGACTGATTGTATACGTCAAAGGCATCTACCACGATCGAGATTCTGACTTAGGTAAAAATCTCCGGTACCAATACTTCGTGAGACTGAAAAGCTAGCTCTAGGCCGTTGATAACAATGTGTATGGAATTTGATATTGGACTTACCTTGTGGATTATGTCTATTTAATGATGGATTGTATATATTCTTTTTAATTGGACTTGTAATTGTAGATTATATAATACTTTTGTGCTTGTGGTCAGATTTGAATTATATATGTTCTGGTCAGATTTGAATTATACATGCATATATATATATATATATATATATATATATATATATATATATATTATATATATTTTAGCGAAAAAATTTGAATTGTAAATTTAAATTTTTAGCAAAAAAATATCTCTACAAAGAAGCGGTTCTAGCCTAAATCATTTTACAAAAGGGGTATTATATATAGCCACCCCTACAAATCGATTTATAGGGACGACTAATAACACCAGCCGCCTCTATAAATTGATTTATAGGGACGGTCTACAATATATGATTTGTAGCCACGCTTTAATAAAGTCGACTGGCTAAACTGTCCCTACAAATCATCTAGAACGTCCCTACGAAAGATTTAGTTAGTAGTGGACGTGTCCGGGCTGAGGTATATAAAGCCTGTAACCGGTTGTAAACAGCATCGAAACAGAACCTAAACTTTCCTCTGAATCAAATTCGACTTCGTCTGTTCCCCAATCTCTATTCTTGCTCTTCCCAGTCTCAATTCCGATTCCAATTATCGTCTCGGTTCGTCGCGGAATCGTGACAAGTGGTATCAAAGCCGTCCATTGTGTCGCCTTGATCGCGTTCGTAATCCCCATCGGCAGGCATCGGCGATTCTTCACCTCGGTGAATCGAGTCGTGTGACGCCATAGGTCTAAGCCGAGGTTGAACGGGTCGGTGCACATCGCGGTTCCTAGCGGGAATCGGTGATCGGTCGTGAGTCTGGCGCCGAAGTGGGGTCCGTTGAAGTTTCAGAAAGACATGGCGTAGTCGGTGGAGGAGGTATCTGCTCAGCTGATGATGAAGCAGTTCGCAGGGTTCCAGAAGATGTTGCAGAGCAGATGGATTCGCTGGACACCATCGGGACTTGGCAGGCGACTGGGCGGACACGGCGTTCGATGATTTGCGCGATAGGGCACGAGGTACGGCGACGACGCTGGACGCAATGACCAAGCGGGTGGAGCTCACGGCGTTGCGCATCAACACGATTGAGGCGAGGCTAGCCACGACAGCTATGCCGCCCCTAATTTAGCCTTCTCCAGCGTTGGGTAACTTGGACCTCAACGAGGCTCCCGGGTCATCCTCGAGCTCACCTTCAATGGACGGGGAGCGGGCCAAGGGCCATGGCGAGGACTGCGGCGGGCTCCTCGGACCCCAGCCGCAGTACGGCAATAAGGGTACGCAACATATTCCTATCTCCGCTGAACCCCCTCCTCTTGATGAATCTGTGCATGCCAATTTACGTTCCCCTCCGTTCCCTAAATTGGAATTTCCCAAGTTTGATGGTGAGTTTCCTCGTGCATGGCGGGACGAGTGCGAGATGTTCTTTGAGGTGTATGCGGTTCATCCCTCGTTGAAGACAAGGTTTGCGGCACTGAACTTTCAAGGAGTAGCTAAGGCCTAGTTGCAGACAGTGCAGAGGAAGGGTAGGATTCTGGATTGGGATAGGCTTTGTGAGCTGGTGATCAATCGTTTTGACAAGAATCAGTATCAGTTATTGCTCAAGAAGTTTGATGCTCTGAAACAAACGGGTTCAGTTGACGACTATCAGGCAGAGTTTGAGAAATTGGCACAAGGGATTCTGTTATACAACAGTAACTATGATGACACTTATTTCGTGACAAGGTTCGTAGCTGGGTTGAAGGAAGAGATTCGAGTGGTGATCACTCTACACCAGCCTAAGGACGTTGACACTGCTAGTGCCTTGGCCTTGCTGCAAGAAGAGGAGTTGTCCCGAGGAAAATAGAAGTTGGGAAGTTTTGGCAAGAATTCTTTCAAGCATAATTTTGATAAGGCCAAGTCAGTGGACTCTGATAGAGGCAAGGCAGATGTCACAGTTAAGGAGAATGAGGACAAGCTAGCTTCTCTCAGGGAAACAAGAAGGAAGAATGGGTTGTGTTTCAAATGTGGGGCTAAGTGGGGTCACAATCACAAGTGTCCTGCTCAGGTGCCACTACATGTATTGGAAGAAATCTTGGATGCCTTGGAACCTATGGAAGATCTTGATGCTGAAGTACCCACTGAAATGGAGGAAGAGATCATTGCAATAGTGTCTCAGTCTAGTTCTTTGGAGAATGTCAGAAGAAGGACTATGAGGATCTGTGGCAATATTGGCAAACTGATAGTACTTATCTTGGTGGATTAGTGTGGGGTCTTTCATCAGTGACAGGTTGGCTGTTCAACTACAACTGGCCACTGTGTCTTGTGCCTCAGTGAACCTGATGGCTGCTGATGGGAGTCCTATGGTATGTGATCAGAAGATTCCCAACTTACAATGGACTGCCCAGGGTCATACGTTTGTGTCTTCAGTGGGTGTGCTTTCCCTTAGATGCTTTGACATGATAGTAAGGGCTGACTGGCTTGAGGAGCATAGTCCTATGTGGGTGCATTGGGCTAGGAAAATCATGAGATTCACAATGGCTGGGAAGAGAGTTACCTTGCAAGGGTCGAATCATGATATAGAACAGTGCCCTGCAGTGTCTGGTAGAGCTCTCAGAGGATTACTTAACAGACAAGCTGTTACCCATTGCATCCAACTGAGATTGGACCCTACTTCATATATTCAGTTCAAGAATATTGTGGCAGTGGCTACTATTTCAGATCAGGAGATGATACCTCAGGTGGAACAATTGTTGGAGCAGTATGATGATATCTTCTAGGCTCCTACTTCCCTGCCCCCACCTAGACAATTTGATCATAGGATTCCTCTTTTGCCAGGAGCTCAACCAATGAATGTGAGAGCTTATAGATATTCACCTGCTCAAAAGGATGAAATAGAAAGACAGTTAGTGGAGATGTTGCAGAATGGCATCATTAAGCCAAGTGAGAGCCCCTATGCTTCTCCAGTACTGTTGGTCAGGAAGAAGGATGGTACTTGAAGGTTTTGTGTGGACTATAGACACTTAAATGCTCAAACTGTGAAAAACAAGCACCCAATGCCCATTGTGGAGGAGTTAATTGATGAATTAGCTGGAGCACAGTGGTTTTCTAAGATGGATTTCAGAGCTGGATACCATCAGCTGTGCATTTATCCAGAGGACACACACAAAACAGCTTTCAAAACACACAATGGGCTCTTGAGGTTTGGTGATGGCTTTTGGGCTTACCAATGCCCCAGCTTGTTTTCAAGGAGTAATGAATCAGAGTTTTGCTCATCTTCTGAGGAAAGGAGTGTTGATTTTAATGGATGACATTTTGATTTATTCTGCTACTTTAGAGGAACATTTAGTGCTTCTACAGCAAGTATTTCAAGTCATCAGAGATCATTAGTTTTTTCTAAAGAGATCTAAGTGCTTCTTTGCTCAAAAGGAGGTTGAGTATCTTGGGCATTGTATCTCAGGGAAGGGTGTGGCCACTGAACCATCAAAAATTACTACAGTTCAGTAGTGGCCTAGACCAAAGAACTTAAAGGAGTTGAGGGGTTCCTTAGGGTTGACAGGATACTATAGGAAGTTTATCAACCACTATGGAATGATCAGTAAGCCACTTTCTGATCTGCTAAAAAGGTCATCTCCATTTGTGTGGACATCTATTACTGAAATAGCATTTATGCAACTCAAAGAAGCTCTAGTGAAGGCCCCAGTGTTGGCAATTTCTAATTTTCGAAAGCAGTTTGTGTTAGAAACAGATGCTAGTGACATTGGCTTTGGTGTTGTTTTGATGCAAGAAGGCCATCCAATTGCATACCTTAGCAAACCTGTGTGTGCTAAGAATCAAGCCCTCTCCACTTATGAAAAGGAGTGCATGGCCATTATTATGGCAGTGGAGAAATGAGTATCTGCAAAATCAGGAGTTCATCATCAAAACTGATCATAAGAGTTTACTCCATCTTACTAATCAGAGGGTAACAACTAAGCTCTAGTAGAAAGCATTGTTAAAGTTAATGGACTTGCAATTCAAAATTCAGTACAAGAAGGGGTCTAGTAACCAAGTTGCAGATTCTCTTTCCAGATGTTCATCTCATGAGTCTGTGATTGTTGTAGCAGTTTCAAACCCAGAATGGTTGAGTAGGGTCAAGGAAGGATATTTGGAGGATCCCTTGGCTGTTTAGTTGTTACAAGAATTATCTCAGAACTCAGCTTCAGCCAGTCCATTTACTTTACAGGATGGCATTGTAAGGCATAAAGGCTGAATTTGGTTGGGCAATAATACCATAGCCCACCAACATGTGGTGCAAGCTATGCACAGTAGTGCTGTGGGGGGACATTCTGGATTCCAAGCTGCTTACTACAAAATTAGGCAACTTTTCACTTGGCCTGGGATGAAATCAACAATCAGTGAATTCATCAAGTCTTGTGCTGTCTGTCAACAAGCTAAAGTAGAACATAGCAGGCCTGCTGGTCTACTTCAGCCACTACCTGTTCCTACTCAGGCTTCGAAGGTGGTGTGCATGGATTTTGTGGAGGGGTTGCCCAAGTCCTCAAAATTTGATACTATCTTAGTGGTGATTAACAAATATACTAAGTATGGCCACTTCATTCCCCTGGCACATCCCTTTACTGCTGTGCAGGTGGCTCAGGCTTTTATGGAAAATGTGTATAAGCTGCATGGATTGCCTAAGAGTATCATTTCTGATAAAGACAAGATTTTTACTAGTGCTTTCTGGATAGATCTCTTCAGGTTAACTGATACTCAATTACTTATGAGCTCATCTTACCATCCTCAGACCGATGGCCAAACTGAGAGACTGAATCAGTGCCTTGAAGGCTTTCTAAGATGCAGTGTTCACTCTTGTCCCAAGCAATGGGCTAAGTGCTTGCCTTTGGCTGAATTTTGGTACAACACATCCTATCATTCTGCCCTGGGAAGATCACTATTTGAGGTATTGTATGGACATCCACCTAGGCATTTTGGCATTACTAATGAAGTTCGAACCTGATTTAGAGCAATGGTTACTGGAACGAAATCTGCTTCAAGATGTCATTCAGTTCAATCTGCATCGGGCACAGTCCAGGATGAAGCATTATGCAGACTTGAATCGATCTGAAAAGGAGTTTGCTCTTGGGGATCTGGTATATCTGAAATTGCAACCGTACATCCAATCATCAGTTGCTCCTCGTAGTAACCAGGAGATTAGTTTTCGGTACTATGGTCCTTTCAAAGTGCTTGCTCGGATTGGTACTGTAGCCTATCATTTACAGTTACCAGATGATTGCAGAATTCATCCGGTAGTGCATATTTCACAGCTAAAGCGTCACATTCCAGCTTCAGTGATGGTTGATGAGGATATTTCTGCAATACCTGATAATCTAGTGGCTAGTCTTCAGCCGGTGGCTTTTCTGGACTCTAGAATGGTGAGGAAAGGAGCATCAGTACTGTCTCAGATTAAGGTCCAATGGTCGGGCATCTCTGATTCTCTTGTGACCTGGGAAGAAGCTTTAGATTTGCGTCGCCGCTTTCCAACTTGTGCAGCTTGGGGGCAAGCTGCGTTTCGAGGGGGAGGTAATGTCAGGATCAGCAAGCGACAGCTAAGGAAGACGACTACTGTTGGCCGTCCGATAACAGCCGCCGCGGCGACGGGTGATGCTGTTAGTTCTGTTAGCAAGACTATTAGTAGCTAAGCTTGGGAAGTTAAGGCGGTTGCCTAACATCTGTAACGACGTGTTCGGGCTGAGGTATATAAAGCCCTGTAACCAGTTGTAAACGGCATCGAAACAGAACCTGAACTTTTCTCTGAATCAAATTCGACTTCGTCTGTTCCCAATCTTTGTTCTCGCTCTTCCCAGTCTCAATTCCGATTCTAGTTATCTTCTCGGTTCCTCGCGGAATCGTGACAGTCATGTTGCAGAAGAGTACAATGTGTGGAGCACTCCCGATTCTTAACGCTAAGCAATTGCAGAACTTGCAATGTTAGGTCACTATAACCTATAGCTAGCAACGATGACTTCACCCACGGGCATCAACCGGATGATAGTACTATACGGGAGCACCATAAAGTCAATTTCCCTCCTCGCTCCTTGGCATTGTACTGTAGCTTGATCTACCGGTTCGCCTAGCCCTTTGTTAGTTTGCCAGGTGGCGGTCGTTTTTTTTCCGAGAGAGTGCATTGGCACGTTTTTCTTTAAGCAGGATTAAGAAGTTTTTTTTACAAAAGTGCGGGATATGGTAAACCTAAGATTACCAAAGCACTTGTCCTATCCCTTCGTAATCTCGCACGTGATTGTGATTACAGTGCACTAATTCTGCGACTCTAGGAGCTACGTATTCACACGGAACGGCGCCGCTCGTCAAGCGCTCCTAGCTGCCTAAACCCAGCCGCGCACCAAAGCGTAACCTCCTCCTCAATGGCCTCAAGCAACTGCGCCAGTGACGAAGCGATACGGTTGAACGTTCTGGCGTTTCTTTCCTTCCACGGGAGCCATCCGATGAGGAGCAGGAGTGAGTCAAACCCATGGCGCAACACCTTGGGTAGCCACTTCCTGGAGGTCGACCACCACCACATGATGTCGTCCTGGTAAACGACGACCAGATCATGCAGGAGGAAACGTCGTAGGCGAGTAGAGACTAGTGTCAGTAGTTAGCCTAGTGTTCATGTTTTCCAGCATTTACATTTCAGTCCTAATGTGGTTGGTAGGGCTTGCCTTGGTGGTGAAGTTGATAAATACCTTGGCAACCAAGTTTCCTAAAGCATCTACCATTAGGCAGTTAGAATATTCCCTAGGATAAACCCCTGGCCTATAAGAGCACATGGGGGGAACCACTTGTACAATTCAACTGTCTTGTATTTTGCAATTCAATAGAAGGCCACGGGCCAAGTTATCCTCCCAATTACCTGTGATCTGGTGATCTATGCCAACAATTGGCATCAGAGCTCGGTGTTGAGAGAAAGGGAGAGGCATGGCCACCTCCGCAGAGAGAGAGCAAAGAGCAGCCCGCCGCCCGCCGAAAGCAGCAGGCGCAGCGTTTGGTCATGGCAGAGGCCTGCCGCAGCCCCACGTTAGCGCGCAGCAGGAGCCGGAGGCGCGTGATAGTAGCTTCGAACGCGCGGCCGCCACGGCCGCGGCTCTGCGTCGAGAGTTGGTGGAGGAGGATCCGCCGCGCGATCGCCGCCCGCTTCCATGGAGGAGCCTAGAGCGCGAGCGCAGGCAGACGCGATCACCCAATCGGGATCAGGATCGCCGTCGTGGACGGGCCAGGGGCCGCTCGCCGGTGATCCAGACCGTATACAAGGATTCTGGCTCAAGCTCCACCTGGCCGATGCTCACCAAGTCAAATTACCATGAGTGGGCCTCGATCACGAAGCTGAAGCTCTAGGCACGGCAACTCTGGGACGCGATCGAGTACCAGGACCTGCCGTACCATGAGGACAGGCGCATGGTGGAGGCGATCATCGCCGCCGTGCCGCAGGAGATGCAGATGCCGCTGTCCGAGAAGGGATCGGCCAAGGAGGCCTGGGACTCCATCGCCGCCGCGGATCGGCGTCGATCGGGTGCGCCGCGCCACGCTCCAGCGACTCCGCAGCGACTAGGAGAAGCTCGCCTTCCGTCCGGGTGAGCAGATCGAGGACTTCACTCTTCGCTTGATGGCCCTGAAGCAGCAGCTCCTTCTCCACAGCGACAACGACATCGATGAAGAGCGCGCGGTGGAGAGGCTCCTGCGCGTCGTGCCGCCGAAGTACGCCCAGCTCCGGATCACCATCGAGACGCTTCTCGACTTCCAG